ATTTATTTGTTCCTCTATATGGCAGATAATTTTAAGGCATATATTATATCTTTATATATATAAGTATAAAATAATTTGTTTTTCTAAGGTTTTTAGTAACCTTTATTGGTTGTTTTTAAAAGCTTTATATCCTATTGAAGGAAGATCAAATGTCACAGGAGACAATAGCGGACAGAAGATTATTCTTGAGTTAGCTCTCTCTTTCTACCATTTTGTTGAGTCCAAATATCAAATTCAGATCATCAGGCATGTACAGCAATTTTTCTACTGGCTGGGCCATCTCGTTGACCCTATAAACTTGTTTTTATTTTAATGCCCATTTTATATATTTAAATAAACTTGCTTTTGCACATTGAATATTGTTTTTTTTCAATTTTTAAATTTTTTAAACTTTTAGCCTGATCATTGTCCTTGGTGAATGTCACACTAACTGAGCTTATGTACTCAGAATATTTTTAATCATTATGTCCAGTGTCAAGGATAGTGTCACCAAGAAATCTTTCACAAAAGTAATGCTTCATATTCATTTTTGGATGTAGTAATTTATGTGTGATTTACTCTCATTTATTTCATTTGGTTTTACTTCTGTCACCTTATCTAAACCAATTCTTATATGTTTGCAAATTATCATTCTCAACTTTATTGTTTGGATGTTACAATGTCATATATCATATTGAGGCAACCAAATGTACTCGTCTGTAATGATTATAGGTGGGTTTAATATTTAAGGAACATCTCTATTTGTGTGTAAAGAATATGAATAAGTGCGTACTACCACTGAGTTTTAGGTTAATTAATAATTCCTTTGTTCGCCATGGTAAGCTATTTCTTCTTACTTCCTTCAGTATTCTGACCAAATTTTTGCTGAATACAAATCGAAGTGTGTTACTGCCTTATTTTATTTTTTTTCTTTATTAGGGTTAATAAAGAGACTTTGTCAGAACTTACATGTTGCCACAAAACGAAACTGAGACACTGTGTGTTTGTGTATGTGTATTTGTATATGTTTTTGGTGTACTTTTGCATGTACACATGTGTAAAGTGTATGCTTCCTCACAGGGCCTGTATGCATGTGCTGAGCACACTTTGACCTTATTTACCTCCTTCTATCACTCTCCTCATTACATATTTTGAGTCAGAGTCTCTCATTGAGGTTATGGAAATACACTGCTCTCTATGGCTTTTCCCAGATGCTGGGCATTGGAACTTAGTTTCTCGTGCATGCAGAGCAAGAACCTTGTCCAGAAAACCATCTCTTCGTCTTACTAAGAAATAATTCTCAATATCAATATTCATGTGTTTTCTTCTAGATGTTCCAGAATTAACATATGTAGAAACATAGCAAAAGTTCAATCAAAATAAATACCATTTTTTCAGTAAATTATTTCACAATATTGCATACGGTATATTATCCGGACAAGCCTCTACCCTTTCATTGTTGTAAATATTTTTTCCTGCATACATTCATAAATAGGTCATTGCAGTGAGGCTACACAAATTAGGTGCATAGTCAAGGGAAGACTGACTAACTTCTTATGAAGCATCTGCGACAGCGTTCCTGAGCAGGTAGGTACCTGAAGGCAATGAAGAAACTGTTTCCTAGATTTGATTTGACTGCATGACTGCCACTCTCGACCAGATGCTTAAATGAGTTACCATGTGTTAAGTGAATGTAAAAATTCTGGAACAAGAATTCTGCATAATGTGTAAAAAAAAAAAAAGAACTATGTAAGTATAATCCTACTTTTGTTTCACTTTTATTACTTCTTTTCTGTTATGTTTTAGATTTATTTACCTTTATGTGTATTTTATGGGTTTTTGCTTGATTTTGCCTATGTATTACAAGCCAGCATGCTGCACACAGAGGTCACAAAAGGATCCCCTGGAACTGGAGCCAGGAGTGTTTGTGAGCCACAGGGTGAGAGCTTGGAATTGATTGTTGGTACACTGTGAAAGCAGCCAATATTTTTAACCTCTGAGCCATCGCTCTACAAACCCATATTTTATCTTTAAATGCTCTACCCTTTGCTTGTATTTTCAAACTATACATAAACACGAATGACATTATAAAACTGCATTATCAACGTGCAACCAATCGAGAGAAGTGTTTGAATTCATGTTCTGCATCCTCTAGATCCTAAGCCACGAGGGACTCCTGGAGTCGACCAAACAACAGTTCAGCATCACTTCTGCACTTCTGTTTAGATTTTTCCAGTTTAGTAGGTTCAATTACAATATAATGACAAATAAAAAATTATAGTTAAACATGTTACAATATTACATAGGAAATATGTCTAAAAAACCCGCCTACCAGTTTACTCTTGTGTAATTTTATTTCTCGCAAGGCAGAGGGAAGGCATTTGCAGTGTGACGACACAGCAAAGGGGATTCTGCGTCACAGACAGCGCTGAATAGCCTTATGAGGCCTTGTCCTCTTGATTTCCAGAAACAAAATTTGATAGTTCTTTACACGTGCTTGTATTAAGAAACAGACAGAGGCCTTTTTATTTGACAAAAGCTGCATTTTTTTTAAAGAAAAAAGTCATTGAAATAATGTAAAAAAAAAAAAAAAGCTCCATCTTTTTGAAAGATAAGAAAACAATTACATATTGTTCTCTGGGTGTGTGATTTTTAATAATCTCATTTCAGCCTAGTGTTTAAAGTAAAGGGAAAATGTTTCCAGGAAAGGAGATGAAATGAAGAAAGGCAAGAGAAAGAGATTTGACCTAATTATGTTAACATGCTTAATATGTTCTAAATTCAGAGCTAATGTCTTCCAGAAGATTTGGCAATTTAATATGCCACATGAAGGAATTTATGGCAGTCATAAACAATCATAGATATGGCTGATTACTTTACGAAATCCTATGTTCTTTAAAATAATAACACAAGTAGATAGTGTAAAATATCTTAATTTTCCATCTATGTTGCAAATATTCATAATTTTAAATTAGTATTTATGGCAAATATATGCAAAATATTTTTTAAAAATCACTATAACATTTTTTAAGATAGGGTTTCTCTGTGTAGTCCTGTCTGTCCTGAAACTTGCTTTGTAGACCCATCTGGCTTTGAACACTGAGATCTGCCTGTCCCTGCCTTCTGAGTTTTGGAATAACAACATCCAAAACTTGTATTTTTTTTTTTTTCAGGAAAAATAAAGGACTAAAATAAGGCCAAACCTTAAAATGTATCCTAGTACCAAATTCTGAAATTGTCTAACCTTTCAACACTGGAGTAAATTTCTTCAAAATAAAGTTTTCCATTTATAGCATTGTATATATAGAGAGAAAGCAATTTCTGCACGCAAAGAAATTCTGGTTGGACAAGTCAGCTTCTCACCCACACTGAAGAACTCCAATGAAGATGTTAGATCATTCATTACACAGCAATTATCAATGAGAATTGCATTGCTAGAGAAGCACAAAAGACTTTAAATTGCTACAACCCAGCATAGAAACAGGTGGATTTTAAACCTTCATTTAAAAATCGGCTTATCATCTGAACATGTAGTTCAAGCCACAAGGTTAGTACATGAAGGAGACTCATGAAATCCATTGTAAAATACCCAAAGTCCAAGCAATAGATGAGCCTTGCAGAAAATCTTCAAATGTTTTATTTCTTCCAAACTTTTAAATGCTGTGACCCAAATAATGATTTTTATTCAACTCAAACCTTGAAGAAACATACTGAAGCAGTCTGTTGTTCACACATGATTTGCTAACAGGCCAAACCACCAGAACTAACATATAGGACATCCAGAGAGAAACATCAGAACAACACAGAGAAATTCTCTGCTGTCAGCTTTCCTGCATGTCAAAAATCTTTCAAGGCTGAAATGTTAGACATTCACAGTCTTAAAGTCAAGCATCTTTATGGAGTCTTTAAAGGGGAGCTTCAGCAAATATTCACAAAGACGCACAACCAGAAATTTCATGTAGTTACTCTCTCTTATAATTTAAGGCATAAGATTCTCAATATATGTCACTTTCTTTAAAGACTTAAAATATTGCTTTTTTCTGCTTTTGGACATGATAGGGCTGTATGTGTGTGGTTAGTGCATCTTTGGGAAAGTTCAGCAATAAATGGAACTTGTGTATATGCAGTATCTTCTGCAAAAATGGTGTGTAGATAAGATTTATAATTTTTTCTTAATTCCATAATAAAAGACTATGCATCTACCTGAAGCACACTGCCCTCTGGTGCACAAACTGCATAAAATAAAATATTTATAAAACATTATCTAAATAGCCAGAGACAGAAACATGATATGTTCAATTAGATTTTTCATAAATGCCCACAACTAGGAGTTGCCAACTCTGCCAAAGAAACAACCCCCCCCAAAATAACTTTCATAAACATTCTTAATAGTAAATAAAAATATGATGTAACTTATTCAAGTGACTCTCATTTCACCCTCTGTTTAATAGAATCTCTGGGCTGTGTGTGAATAAGTAGCTTTTTTTCTGAGTTTTATAGAGAGCTTCTTTTGTACAACTTACTTACAATTGAAGTTTAAAAATGGCATGTCAGTAGACAGACATCTTACTCCTGTTTGTGTTGTATATTATCATGGCCATCTCTCTCGTGTCTCCTTATAGTCATACCTTTGCTTTTGTTTTTTTTTTTTTTAACATTCTTGTAAAAAAAAGATAAGTTGGCAAAACTTTTCAGTGACTAGTAGATTTTATTCCCATTTAGGCTAAGAAGTTTGACAGACTGATATAAGTTATAAAAGTCATTTTTAAGCATATGCTATGCAATAAGAAATAGACTCAAAAGAAAACTGGGATATATTCTCCAATTTGAGAAAGTTATATAACCAGTTAGCTACTTTTTTTGATAATATGTCACACCTACAAGAAATAAGTTTAAATGTCAGGAAAGCATCACGGCAGGGTTAAGTAAGGATGGCCCTTCTGGAACGTTCAATTGGAGCAGCCATTATTATTTACACACAACCTCCAAGTATGATATCTGTAGTTGCTTTCTCCTCATACCTGTATATCTTGTATCGTGTGCTAAATCCCTGTCGGCTTCTGTCCACAAAATCTGTGTACTCCTGTGAACGATGGAAGGGTCCCTTATCAGAGAGGAGCCAGTCGAAGGGGTTTGTGGCATGCTGGTCAGACACAGCAGCAACCGCTAAAACCCAGCAATGAAGACTCAGTACTATCCACTCCCATAGAGCCATCAGAGAGGACAATTCAGCACCAGCTCTGCGCCGCCATATCATGCTTCCAGTGGGGACTTAGAGCCTTCATCCTCTCAGCTTTCCCTCAACACCTAGACAGAATACACAGGCAATTAGTTACCTGGCAAGAAACGCTCCATCCGCTGAGCTGCTGAGCTAGCAAATTTCTCTGATTTTAGTTAGTCTATTTGACACTTTTAAGTCAGTTGATATCAGAAGTGACCAAGAAGCAAACCATAATTACTTCTTGTTTCAGAGCTACATATTTTTATACATTGTGTCTAAATTTTCGCTTCAATAGAAAATAAATCCTTAAATAAGCTACAGATCATGACATAAGAATGACATCCAGAGGACCATTCTTTAACTATCTTAAACAATAATAAGCTTGAGCAAATATTTATTCTTCTGCTAAACTATTTGTCAAACTCAGTACGATCAAAATAATAAATTTTTATTATGTTAATGTATGAACCTATGTAAAATTTATATTAAATAAAACATAAATAATTACATAATCAATTTTGACAATAGGTATATTTGATATTTTATTTTATAATTTATTTTAACCTGTTTTAGGATATATATGTATATATGTACACACACACACATATATATATAATGATATAATGAGAGTGTGTGTTGCCTTAATGTGTCTGAATACAGATATACATGCCCCACAGTGCTTGTGAACAATTGAAGACAACCTCAAATGTTAGTTCCTCTTGCCTTCCAATTTGTTCGAGGTAGGATATTTTGTACAAATGCCAGGGAAAATGGCCCAGGAGATTTTATGGATTTCCCTTTCTATTCTCTATAAGGTGCTGGAATTATACTGCCATTCCTGGCAAGGACTCCAATTAAAGGCTCAACTTTATGAAACAATCCCACTTACTACAGAAGAATGATGGATGACCTTTCATAATTTCTCCAGAGGATCTGTTTTTGTTTGTTTTGTTTGAGACAAAACAAACAAAATATTTTATATGTAGTAGAGGCAAACCTCCAACTCCATCTATCTGCTACCTTCTCTTGTCTCTTGAGTGCTGGAATAAAGGTGTACACCACTACACCCAGCTCTTGTAGGTATTTGAGAAAACAGGAATACATGAATATGTGTATACAATCAAGTATGTGTATCTAAGCAGATAGATAATAGGTAAGCAAGAGATTGTTTACAATAAAGTGGCATAAGAAGGAAAAGTGTTTGTTCAGAAATATTTTTCCATATTTTCTTAAACTTCTTACTATATAACTAGAGATTTTTTAATATTTTATTTTTTAATTTTTATTAATTTCACTTTATTCACTTTGTATCCCCCATGTAGCTCCCACACTCCTCCCCTCCCAATTCCTCCCTCCCTCCCCCTTCTCTACTCATGCCCCTCCCCAAGTCCACTGATAGGGGAGGTCTTCTTTTCCTTCCTTCTGATCCTAGTCTATTAGGTCTTATCAGGAGTAACTGTATAGTCTTCCTCTGTGGTCTGGTAAGGCTGCTCCCTCCTCAGCTGGAGGTGATCAAAAGCAGGCCAATCAGTTCATGTCAGAGGCAGTCACTGTTCCCATTACTATGGAACCCACTTGAACACTGAGCTGCCATGGGCTACATCTGAGCGGGGGTTCTTGGATATATCCATGAATGTATCTTGGTTGGAGTATCAGTCTCAGAAAATACCCTTGAGCCCAGATATTTTGGTTCTGTTGCTCTCCATGTGGAGCTCCTGTCCTCCCAGGTCTTACTGTTTCCCACTTCTTTCATGAGATTACTGCACTCTGCCCAAAGTTTGGCCATAAGTCTCAGCATCTGCTTTGATATCCTGCAGGAAAGAGCCTTTCAGAGGTCCTCTGTGGCAGGCTCCTGTCTTGTTCCCTGTTTTCTCCTTCTTCTGACGTCCATCCTCTTTGCCTTTCTGAATGGGGATTGAGCACTTAGACATATAACATAGGATAAGCCTACTAAAATCTGTACACCTAAAGAAACTAATCAAGAAGGAGGACTCTGGCTAAAATGCTAGAAAATTTATAATAAAATTTTTCTCATGAATTTAAAATACCCACGTGTATAGTGCATCTTGCCTTTGCATTAACTCACACAGTTCTTGTGAACACAGAAACTAAACAATATAGATAATTCATAAGCTATGAAGCTGAATACATTATATTACACCATCTAAGAATGAAGTAAGAGACATGTAATCCCAGCATGTATTTCCAGTGTGGATTACTACAAATAATTACATGCCAAGCTGCTGGTAGGGTAAAATATCTATATATTGTGCACAACATGTTCTAGAAACATTTGAATTTAATTTACTTTCTCATTTACATTTTCAAAGACATAAAGTGTTTACATTGTTATTAGTAGAAAGTATTAGAGTAAAAGCTTTAGCCAGCAGAATTCTTCATAATATAACTAAAATTCAAAATAGTAAGTAAAATAATTTATAATAGCTTGTATGTTTTTTTGCATTCAGATGAAATGTAATACCCTTTATTTATTGTTCTAGCTGCATTTTCATTAATTTAATCCTAAGGTGCTTTGATAAGAGGTATATTCCAATAATTTTTAACTAAAAATATCTAATAGTGACAACAAAGCCACATGGCCTAGATCATTAATGTCACAATTTGCACTACAAACTTACTAAAACAGAGACTAGAAAATATACTTTCCAAATAACATGAAGTAACTCCATTATGGTGAGTAAGAAAAGCTCCTTTTTGTAAGCAACATAGACAATTATCCTGTGAAAATACTTTTAAAACAATTTATTATCATGTCTTATATAGTATGATATATGTGGGAACATGTGTGAAGAAATTCATGGATTCTCCTTGTTTAAAGGCATCATTGTCAGATCAATCGTTTTATAACTTCCAAATCTTTTGGATAAAATTAATATATTTACATTGTGTTAATTATGTGGGGATTATGTCACTTTTCCCCTTCTTTTTTTAACTTTTATCAATTTCACTTTATTCACTTTGTATCTCCCCTTAAACCCCTCCCTCTTCCCCTCCTAATCCTACCTTTCCTCCCCTTTCTTCACGCATGACCTTCCCCAAGTCCACTGATAGGGGAGGTCCCCCTCTTCTTCCTTCTGATCTTAGTCTATCAGATCACATCAGGAGTGGCTGCATTGTCATCTTCTGTGGCCTGGTAAGGCTGCTCCCCCTTCAGGGGAAGGTGATTAAAGAGCAGGCCAATCAGTTCATGTCAAAGGCAGTCCTTCTTCCCATTACTATGGAACCCACTTGGACACTGAACTGCCATGGACTACATCTTTCCGTGGTTCTAGGTTATCTCCATGCATGGTCCTTGGTTGGAGTATGAGTCTCTGGGAAGACCCCTGTGCTCAGATTTTCTGGTTCTGTTGCTCTCCTGTGGAGTTCCTGTCCTCTCCAGCTCTTACTATTCACCACTTTTTTTTTTTTATAAGATTTCATGCACTTTGCCCAACAGTTGGCCATAAGTCTCAGCATCTGCTTAGATAGTCTGCAGAGCAGAGCCTTTCAGAGGGCCTCTGTGGCAGGTTCCTAACTTGTTTCCTGTTTTCTTCTTCTGATGTCCATCCTCTTTGCTTTTCAGGATGTGGATTGAGCATTTTAGTCAGAGTCCTCCCTCTTGATTAGTTTCTTTAGATGTATAGATTTTAACAATGTTGTACATAATTTGCATTTTTAGCTCAATATTCGATTGTAAAATAAAGTGTAATACCTCTGGGAACCACAAATATTACTCACTTATGCCAAGGATGCATGAATTTCTCCTCTGTTTAAAAAAATGTATTATTAAAATTGCAATGATTATTTGTATCTCACAAATGAAGTCAAAATATATATTTAAAGACACTATTTGTTTTAGGTCTGCATTAATTATCTAAGATGAAAGGAAATAATTTTTTTTGAGAGAAATCTGTATAACACTGACTTCCAGAGCTTTTTGATTAGCAATCACACTTAGGACTAAGTTTGTTGAAAATATATAAACAAAGACAGTTTGTGTGACGAATAATTTGGAAAAAATAATCCTTTGAAAACACTTCCAGATCACCCTCAACCTTGTCAAGAACAAGTTTACAGCATCTGCACAGTCAGGGATTGGTTAAAGGCTCTAGCTCTGGTGCATGGTGCCTGTGGTGATATCCCTTGATGCTTCCCTCGTGCCTTCCTCAGTTTGGGGTGAGGGAACCACCTCTTTGTATTTTTGTAATTGGAGCAAAAGAATGACCACATCAACCCTTCAAAAAGATGTTTTTATGACATAGCTTTCAAAGTTCTAAATAGAGCTGATTTGTGCTGTGTTTTTGCTGGGACAGTTGTACATATTAACTGAGAATAATTGTAATACTACAGATAGAGTATCATAGGGTCCTATAATAAAAAATCAGCACAGTAATAATTTCATCAAGTTTCTTCCTCAAAGAAGCTGTAAACTTCTTAGAGAACCTGTAAACTGATCTTGATCTTACCATAAAAAGTATATAATTAACTGGCTAAAATTGAAAATAAAAATGCCAATACAAAATGTTTTCTAAAACCCCTTGAGTGTTCCCGTTTGTAAAAGAAGATAATAAATTAATATGAAGAAAAACTAATAAATCTTGAAATTCAAATTAAAAAACAAGACGTTATAGTGTGATATGTACTTTTAAAATTAGCATCGTTGAGATATTTTTTCTGTTACAAAAATAAGTAAATAAAGAAATTATTCTCATTCGAGGAAAAAGCAAATACCAAGACACAGCTAAACTTCGGACAGAGTACAGGGAAACTTATGGAAGAATGGGGATATAAAAGGATCAGGATAGGGCAGGAGGCAGACAAGGAGACCAACAAAGCACAGAAAAACAAACAAATAAACAAACAAAAAACAAAATAACAACAACATAAAAAAAAAAAAAAGAAAACACAAGGCCCAGGGGAGAGTGCAGAGACTGATGCATCAACCAAAGACCATGCACATAGAGGACCTACACCCCTGTTCAGATGTGCCCATAGACAGCTCAGTCTCCATGTGGGTTCCCTAGTAAGGGTAGGAGAGTCAGTCTCTGACATGAACTTGATTGCCTGCTCCTTGGTCACTTCTCCC